CCTCCTCCCTCCTCCCTCCTCCCACTCTGCCGCCGCTGGCCTGGGGCTGGGCCTCGGATAGGCCAGGGGCTGGGCCGAGGGGCAGGCCCGGCGTGGGCCTCGGGGTACCAGTCGTCGCGCTGCCACGAGGACGGCTAGAACCAGAAGCGGAAGGACGTGTCTGGCCACGGCGAGCCCGGGCCAGAGGTGGGTCCCCCGACCTGGCTCTGGGGGAACGGTACCAGAGCCAGGGCCCCTCCTTAGCCCAAACTGATCCTCATCTCAGCTTCCTGACGGTGCGCCCTAGGGGTAGGCCCCAGGGGTAGGCCCAGGGTGGATCGAGGTGTGGGCCCTCGGAGTGGGCCTGGGGTCAAGCTGGTCAGGTCGAGCGAGTCAGAGGGCCCCGCCTACTCCAAGCTTCCCTCCCGCAACATAAAAAAACAACACAATTGCAACACAACTCGACATTGGGATCGGAAGGCCCTCCCGCGCGGCCCCGCTTCCGACGACTTGACGAAAAGAAAACTACGCGGGCCGCGCACGGGCGGGAGCGACAAAACTTCCCATGGGCGCGGCGAAGACGAAACATGCGCCGCGCTTACACAGCATCGCCACTTTCACTCGCAAGCTGCGCGGCGTACAGACGAGGACGGCATTTGGCCCACTCCCGCACGGCCCCGCTGCCGCCGTCGCTCCCATCCACTTCGGCAAACGAGCCATGCGCCGCGCCCGCGCTGGAACGCCACTCCCGACCCATGTGCGCACAGAACTTGGGCGAGGACAGCCAGTCGCCAACTCGCGCGCGGGCTCCCCAAAACGGGCGAGTGACATTATATATATATATATAAAAACAACAACAACAACAACAACAACAACAACAACAACAACAACAACAACAACAACAACAACAACAACAACAACAACAACAACAACAACAACAACAACAACAACAACAACAACAACAACAAAAACAAAGGAACAAAACAAAAAACAAAAAAACTGGCGAATGACAAATATGCGCCGAGTCGATGCGGGAACGCCACTCTCGGGCGACACCTGCGCGGCGCGGCGGCGAGAGCGACGCTTTCGCCCGCTCGCGCGTCGACGACGATGCCGTCCAGCCAGAATGCTCGCCGCGCCCAGGCGGGAGACGGCTCCTCCTCCTCCTCCTCCTCCTCCTCCTCCTCCTCCTCCTCCTCCTCCTCCTCCTCCTCCTCCTCCTCCCTCCTCCTCCTCCTCCTCCTCCTCCTCCTCCTCCTCCTCCCTCCTCCTCCTCCTCCTCCTCCTCCTCCTCCTCTCCTCCTCCTCCTCCTCCTCCTCCTCCTCCTCCTCCTCCTCCTCCTCCTCCTCCTCCTCCTCCTCCTCCTCCTCCTCCTCCTCCTCCTCCTCCTCCTCCTCCTCCTCCTCCTCCTCCTCCTCCTCCTCCTCCTCCTCCTCCTCCTCCTCCTCCTCCTCCTCCTCCTCCTCCTCCTCCTCCTCCTCCTCCTCCTCCTCCTCCTCCTGCTCCTCCTCCTCCTCCTCCTGAATGAGCGCGGCGCCGGGGCGACGGCGGCACGTCGGCCTTTTTGCGCGGGATCTACGCCCCGCCCCACTCCTGCCCCGCAGTCTGCAGCACGGACGACGGAATGCGAATGCCGAAGCGAAGAGATGGCTCTGTGTTGTTTTGACACGGTCAGGACGGGAGGGCCTGGATATCCGGGGCCTATTGGTTGGCCGTGGTGGAAACGGGGGGGCATATACGAGGCAGGAATGAACATGAACCTGGGGGAAAGGCCCTGGGGGCAGGCGTAGGGTAGGCCTACGGATAGGGCCCAGGGGTAGGCCCCAGGTAGACCTCAGGCATAGGCCCGCGCGCCGTGCCGATCAGCCCGCCCGGCAGCGATCGAGCGAGCGGGGCGACGCCGCACGGTCGGGAAGACCGGGCCGCCCTCTGCGGGCGGGCGAACGGGGCCGCAGCACTCAGAGACTGGCTGCCCGCGGCGCGCGTACTGCAGGCGAGATCGCCTGCGTCGCCGAGCAAAAAACTCGCCCGATGGAAGCTCGTCGGGCCGGTGGGCGCGCAGAACGGCTCGAGCGCTCGACTGCGCGCAGGGATGCTCGAGGCTCCCCCCCGCCTGGAGGGGCCCCGCCTCGAGGCAGGGCGGCATCCGCGGGCCTCGCCCCTGGGCTGATCCGCGGGCGCTCGCCTGCGCCTGCCTGGATCCGCCCCGCTGCCGCTGCAGCCTGGGGTCAGATGCGACCCCAACAAATCAACGGCCACCCTCCTGCTGCCGCGATCATCGCCGTTGCTCGGCGTGTACAAAGGGCGAGCCACTGTGCCAGCCTCAGGGTGACACTCTGGGCAGCGTGGCGCTCCGCGGCGTGCCCGGCGGGCGCGTCGCCGCTCTCTCGCCCCGGCACAGCGAGCCCCTGAGCGCAACAAATCGGCACCACACATCCCTAAACGAGGGCGGGGAGGAGGGAGGAGGAGAAGACGAAGACGAGGACGAGGAGGAGGGGGAACACCCTCGCTGGGCGTCGTGGCTGGGCGGCGTGCCCGGCGGGCGCGTCGCCACTCTCTCGCCCTGGCACCGCGGGCCCTAGGGAATCAAACACACACGCGGCCTCCTGGCCCAGAAGAAGAGAGGAGGAGGAGGAGGAGGAGGAGGAGGAGGAGGAGGAGGAGGAGGAGGAGGAGGAGGAGGAGGAGGAGGAAGGCGAGCAAGCAAGCAGGCAGGCAGGCAAGCGGAAGGACGAGCAGGCGGCGAAGGGGCGGGGGGACGCGGCCGCGCGGAAGCGGGCGGAGGCGGGGGAGGAAGACGTCAAGGTCGCAGGCAAGGGGGCCCAGGTGGCGCCCTCGTCCTGGTCGGGCCAGCGCGCATGCACCTGCCGGGCGGCGCGGCGCCACATCTCAGTGCCGATGGCCGCGGCCAGCCGCTTGCACCGCCACTCCCCATCAGAACGGCCACGCCTCCGCGATTGCTTTGTCGCGAGAGTGCGGAGGATGGCTGTCGTCCGGGGGTGGGGCAGGCCGTAGCAGGTGTAGACCAGCGGCCGGTAGGTGATGTTCTGCCGCGCCCGCGCCCGAACATCGGCGTGCGCCGAGTAGTAGTCGACCTTACGCCGGTACATGATGGCCGCGCAATCCGGACCGGCCGCCACGGCATCAGGCGAGCCGATGCCCACGTCGAGGGCCAGGAGACCGTTGCCGAGGGAACCAGTCAGCACGTCAGCTGGTCCGAGGCGCGTTCCTGGCACCAGGCCCGGGGCCTCGAGCTCTGCGCTGGGGTCGCATACTCTGGCGGCCGCGTGCGCTCGGCGCGCTACCGCGTGGTGCCCCCAGGTCGATTCCGCGCGGCTGCAGCAGAGAGCGTGTGACCCAGCCTGGTCGAGGATCGCTTGGCCGCAGAGACCGCACGGGACCGGGTCCAGCGGCCCGGCAGCGCCGACGCTCTCCTCGTCTCTCGCCCCCGAGGCCTGCCAGCCCGCAGCTCGGCCTGGAAGGCCAGCAGCCATCTCTGCTCATGGCGCCGCGCTGTTCCTCGAGCGGCCGGGACGAAGCGCTCGGGATGGGCATGCTCTGCTCGAGGAGGGACCACTCGTGCAGACAGATACACAGGACAGGACAAGGAAAAGCCAGGCCAGGCCAGGACAGGGCACATCAGAACAAGGGCGAGGGCACCGATAGGGACGGGAAAGAGAGACAGACGGGCAGGCAGGCAGGCCAGCAGCCAGGCAGACACAAAGACAGGAAAACAGACGCAGGACAGACGGAAACAGGGGCACGAACAGACGGGCACGGACAGACGGAGGGATGGACAGACCAAGCCAAACCAATGAGAAAGGAAGCAACGGAAAAGCGGAATCGAGGTGCACCCCGGTATCCGACGAGGTGAAGAAGAATCACGACGTCGCGAACACTAACGCACCGCAGCCCTCGCTCCCATCCTTCTACGCGACCATCTCGAAATAGATCGATCCGTCAGGGCGGATCGAAACGGAGCGCGAAGACGTGGTTCGGTACGACGCGCAGACGCCTGGATAAGTCCTGGCCGATTCCAGACACCTGAAAACCTCGAACCCCGAAATGCTGACGCCTTACGTTTGCGTCTGCCACCTTCCGCCGACCTCCAGCTGGCGGACCCACCACCGTTTTGCTTCCGCTGGCCTCCGCCGACCCTGAGATCAGACGTCACGAAAAACTGCAGCATCGTAGAAAACTCGACTGGAGACCTGGACCTCATCCTTCTGCGGCATCCTTCTGGGCGGATCGATCCGTGAGGGCCCCATGGGGCCCGCAACAGAGCAGAACATCAGGCCGCTGTGAATTCACTGCGACGACAAGATCTCAGGGGAGGGCGAGACGCACCGAAGGCCAGGCCCTCATCCGGAGCATCGCGAGCGGAAGACACATCCGCATCGTCGGCCTCACGGGCCCGACCTCTGGGTCGCGACCCCGCAGATACTCGAGCAGGGACCGACCGCCCCGGCATTCCTAGAGTCCTACCACGAAGTCGTCTTAGAAGCCACGAGTGCTCTGAGAACGGAAACAATGTTCTGAGAACATAAGCCCGATGTGTTAAAACAAGACGGTCGCAGCCAGGCGAGTTCTAAGAACATTTCGGGCAGAACATGTTCTGGTGAGCCTACAGGAGACGCCAGGACGCCTCGCCACTGCTCGAAAAAACGGGGCGAGTGTTGCTGCAGCCATCCCGCGCGGCCCGTATCACTGCGACCGCGCATCCGCAGGGCCGCGCCCCGGAATCCAGACCACGGGGCCGTGGATGTGGGCACGTCCGCCGCTCGTGCTAACGTTGTGGACGCCACGACAACGGACACCCTCACAGTCCGATCATTGAACGAAACATGTGTCTAAAATGTCGGAGAAATGTTCTCAACATGTTTTGACCATGTGTGCTTCATGTTTCAAGCATGTTTGAAACATGTTTCAGACATCTGGCAACTATTTCGCAGCATGCCTCCTCTCCACGAATCGACTTCCATCATGATAACGCCCTCCTCCTGGCGGAGGGAGCGCTCGCCTACTGCCACGAGCACGGTGTCCTCGCGCGGCCACCTCAGGGCGTACACCGGCCTCTGCAGGTCCAGGCTTCCTGAAGCCACGCGTGGGCCGCCGCCGATCCGGTCGCCTCCCCTGCGGCATCCTTATCCTCCACCGGTCGCCTCCCTTGCGGCATCCTTCTCCTTCCTCTCCAGGTCCACTTCCTCGTCTTCCTCCTGGTTCCTCCTCCTCCTCCTCCTGCTCCTACTCCTTATCCTTTTCCTTTTCCTCGTCCTCTTCCCCTCCCAGTCTCAATCAAAAATATGATTAAGAAAATGCTGAATCAAGAGAGCTGGGCCAGCCTTTTCAAACATTTCGTATGGAACCGCTGGGCCAGCTCTTGGAGCCAGGAACGTACATGATTCATTTCTAGTAGCTCCGACCGCTACGACAATAATCTAATCGCAAAACGAATCGGAATAGTCAAACTCATGTTCCTTAGCTTTCCCGGAATTATGTTTTTAATGCATCAAATGCGCTAGATACGCCTGGTTCAGAAACTCGGATTCAATGATTCGCCCGGTTTGCGAACTGACAGAAATTTGATTCAAGATCAAAAACTCTGACAACTGACTAAACTAATGAAACAATCGGGCTCGGGTTCGGGCTCGGGCCCCCGGCTCGGGTTCGGGCTCGGGTTCCGAGCTCGGGCTCAGGCTCAGAGCTCAGAGCTCGGGCTCAGGGCTCGGGCTCAGGGCTCGGGCTCAGGGCTCGGGCTCAGGGCTCGGGAGGACTCAGGGCTCAGGGCGCGGGCTCGGGCTCAGGGTTCGGGTTCCAGGGCTTGGCCTTCGGGCTCGGGCGGGCTCAGGCCTGGCTCGGGCTCAAACTCCGGGCAGGGGCTCCGGCTCGAGTTCAGGAATCAGAGCTCAGGGTTCGAGCTGGAGGAGGATTCATTCTGAATTAACTCGTAAATACATGATGTATTATCAATTAGTTCGTCATCAATTACTGATACATAAACTGTTTTCAAAATCAAGTATTAATTAATAGTGAGAGGCCGAAACTGTTTCTTCAGAAAACAATCACTTTCAGGTACCGCTAAGGGGTCGGCGGATCATACATGGTAAAGCCGGGAAGGAGGAGGGAAAGAGTAAAGAAAGCAAGCAACAGAGAAAGACAAAAGGAGATCTGGTTCCTCATCGCATCCTCCCGCTCATCTCTTCTTCCTCCTCCTCCATGTTGCTGCTCCTACACCTTCTCCTCCACCCCTTCCTTTATCGATCAGTGCTAACGCCGCCAATGCTGCCACCGCTCACCAGTGCTGCTACAAACAGCCGCTGCCGCAAAAAACGATATACGCACCCGTGCAAAAATGCAGACCCGTGCAATCACCCTTGCAATAAACCACGAGCACCGGAACACAGCCGTCTCGGAACGCGAATTGATATTACTATGATGTGTGTGTTTGCCGACCCGGTTATACCTGTTCCCCCATCCGAAATGGAATCGTTTTTGTTTTTTTGGAAACCGAACCGGCGCGAACCGGAACCGGAGGCCACCAATCCCCATAAGAAACTGAGCCAGCTTTCCGGCAAGTTGGTTACGAAACGCTGGGCCAGCTTTTCGGGGGCTCTTTCTTAATTATTGTTGGGACCGTACATGTGACCCAACATGGACCCCAAAGATTGTGTTTCTAACCGTATACGGTGTGAACATTTATATGGTGATGAATAACTAACTGTATACACAAACGTGTGTATATATAGATATATGGAGCAACGTACGCTGTGATATCTAACCAGCACAAGTTATGCTGTGCAGTCTACGTTGTACACTCGATGTTGTGCAATGTGCGCGGTTCAATCTACTTGGCGCAGTTCACCCTGCCCAACTTGAAACTGTCAGCTCCACTGCTCGCGCAACCACCCCGCACATCCATCCGCAACATGGTTTGCATGAGCCCACGAGGCGGCAATTGCGATGACTGCTCGGCGCTGGCTGGCGCATTGCGGCGGCCGCGCTAGCCCGCGCATGCTTGCGCGCGAAGACGGCAGCTGGTTCGGCGCGACCGGCGCGATTTATGTGGTTCAATCGGCGCGGTGCAGTCTAAGAGGAGCAAGCCGTTCAACTTCGCAGTGAGTTGCGTCAACCCCACTGCGCGCGCAATCGCCCCGCTCACCCACCCGCACCTTGGTTTGTATGCGGCGATTGCGATGAGTGTTTCCGCGCTGGCGTGACCGCTGGGTACTTCCCAGCGGGCACTTTTGTGCGAGTCGGCGACTTGGGCGGGTGGGCTATTATGGCAAAGCTGACATCGGTAGACGCGATGATGGGACTAGTAGCAGCGATGCTGGCGACGATAATGACAACGACGACAGCAAGGCCAATTACGGCAGCGATGCTGATCACGCCGACGACGATGACGGCGTCCTCGCGTCTGCGATGAAGAGTTTGGAAGGAGTTCGACACGCGCGCGCGGCCGACGCGCGAATGGCCCGCATGGTATTAGTTCACCCGGGTCGCGCCCTACCCCCCACCCGCCCGACCGAGCACGATCGCAAGGGCGCCCGACTCATTTCGACATTCAGCGCGAGAGGCCCGTTTGACAGAATTTGATGACCTTGTTGGAAAGCCTTTGGCGGCCTGAATGCCTGGCAGGAGCGCGAACGCAGGCATTTAGCGGAAAATGACGTCGCCAAACAGTGCGATGTTTCCTCCGTCTTCAGGACGCTCGGATTTGGAACCCAGAAGAATCAGGAGGAAAAAAACACACAGACACAATTAATCGTCGATCCCCTGGAAAATATGGGAAAATATGGGAAGTGGTGGGGAAGACAGAAATCCAGAAAATATGGGGAAATATGGGGAACATGTTTATTTGTGTGTATTTATTTGTGTGTCCTGGGGCCCCCTCGAAGAAGCCGACAGATGTTCGAAAGATCCCCGCGTGCGCGAGCGACGACGCGCGCGCGCGCGCAGGTCGCGCGACTTCTTGCACGGGGCCCCTGCGACAGCACGCGCGCACGGGCGCGCGAGCGAGTTCGACGCCCGCGCGCGAAGGCCACATTGGCAGCACGTCACGAACATGTTGATAAGCTTGTGGTGTTCTTAAGAACCTGGAGAGTGAAGGGGAACTGGGACACACAAATAAATAGACACAAATAAAAATATTCCCCATATTTTCATATATTTTCTGGGTTTCTGTCTTCCCCCCCATTTCCCATATTTTCCCATATTTTCTGGGAATCGACGATTAATTGTGTCTGTGTGTTTCTTTCCCTCCTGAGAGAGTGCAAGCGCAAGTTCCCTACGTAGGCTCTGCCTAGAAGGGTGCTGACCGTCTAGCTTAAAGGGGCCGGGCAGGGTTGCCCGCCCCGGGCGGTTCCCCCCAGAATCCGCCCCGCGGTTCCCCCAGCTACGTCCCCTTAGCTTATCGATGCTTGGCGACGCTTATCTCATCTTAGTTTAGCTCATTTCATGCTAGCTTAGCTTAGCTTCATCTTAGATCAGGTTTTTATCTTAGCTTAGCGCTTCTTCATCTTAGCTTCGCTGAGCTTTACCATAGCAGGGCGCAGCATAGCATAGCATAGCGTAGCATAGCGCAACATAGCGTATCATAGCATAGCAACTAATGCTGCGTTCCTAAGGGGGTCCAACTTCTAGATAGGGTCGCACTGGGGTAGTTCGTTTATGAAAATCCCCGTTGCGAAACCACGTGGTCATGTGTTTCGGAAAATTCGAATTTCAAATCCTCACGAAACCACAGGCGTTTCAGATATGCCGGCACGCGCGCGCGACAACGCGCTCGAGCGTTCTCCGTCCCATTTGCTGCAAGAGATCATTGAACACAGGCAGTTGTTGATAAAGAAGTAAGTGCGCGCGCGCCAATTATTTGTTGCAGTGGGTGAGCGGGAGGGCGGCGATGCCGGTTTAGCTGACGCAACGTGAATTCATATGAGGGGGGGTAGATCCCGTTGCCTTCCTCAAGAGGCGAATGCATGTGGTGAGAGCGGCCGCGACGCATCGCGCGCAACCACCTCCCGCGCTCGAGCAAGCACCACAGGCCCGACGAGCCCCCGACTGCCAGCGCATGCTGCAAGACGCGCGGATGAGATCCTGGCACCCACCCAGGGAATGGCGCGCAAAGAACAGGGTGGCCCCTCCATTCCCGCAAGGAAATGACGCGCATGTGGCCCGCATCGTACTTGTGGATAAGATTTCGCCCCACAAGTTCCCCCTCTTCGATCAGAGCGCGCGCGCCGCGTGGCATTGCTCGACAAATACTCGCGGCCCACGCTCAGGCGCCCCGCGTGGTATCATTTGACAGTGACCATGCCTCTGGCAAGCGCGCGAGGGCGCTGGGGCAGAACAGACCAGACAAGACAATTGGAAAAGTCTTGGTTGCCCGATGATTTTCGTCGGAGCGCGCAATGTGAACATTCGAAAACTGTTTATTGAAGAACCACTCGGTTTCTGATGTTTGGGAGCTGAACCCGCGACGAACACAAAGGTTTTGGAAGGATTTCGCCCTGCGCGCGCGTGGCCCTAATGGTATCATTTGACTAAGGTTCGTGCCGCTAGCTCATCTCATATTGTCGCACGCGCACCGCATGGTATCATCTGACAAGGATGGAAGGGGGGCCCATGCCGGTCCGGCGTGGACGATGTGAACTCATATGGGAAAGTTGAAAGAAGACAGAAGCATCTGCAAACGGCAATACCCTAGGGGGCCAATAAGTCCGGGGGGGTAAAAAAGAAAAGCAAAAAACAAAAAACTCAAAGAATCCAATGAAAATCTACGCGGCGCCACGCGCGCGGTGCGCAAGTGATCTGGAGCCACCAGGGCGGTGCAATCTAAGTAGGGAAATATGTCGCTGTTCGCATTGAGTTGCCAACTCCGCCGCTCGCGCCATCACCCCGCCCACCCGCCCGCAACTTTGACTGCGCGAGCCCATGCGGCGACGATTGCGACGAACATTTGGCGTTGGCTGGTGCATCTCCGCGGCCGCGCTAGCCCCCGCACGCTCGCGCGCGCGGCGGCCGCGTAGTTTGGCGCGACCGGCGCGGCCGCGGCGGCGCTGACCGCCGGGCATCCCCGAGAAGGTGCATCGG